TATCTTACTAACGAAAATGAAATGTAATGAGTTATTTGTAAAAAGTATTTTGTTATAATTTTCTGAACAAATTTTGTTATAAGTATTCTTTCTTCAAAAAAAAAAAAATTTTGTTATGAATTTAAAATGAAATATCCATTTACATTTAAAATAAAATATTAAAAGATATTATAAATAAATTAGTGAAAAAATTAGTTACATTTTTATCTTTAATGAATATCTAAAAAATTAAACACTTATAATGTTACAAATCATAAGTAAAATGTCATGTTATGCAATTCTAACAAAGTACTAACGATATATTTAATGAAGTAATAATATATTTTTAAACGTTAATGCCACAATTTATATATGTTTAGTTTTCTCTTTTGAAATTATATGCCAATATGGAATATAATATTTGATATGGTCTGTAAACTTACAAATATCTAGATTTTTAGAATTGTTGCACGGATCATATCGAAGTTGCGTGTATGAAATGCAATTTCACTATAAAGAACACTCCTTTGGCTAATTTAAATTAAAACTCCACCCAAGAAATATTGAGATATTATCTAGAAAAAGGAAAGAGCACAGAGAGAATCTAATATAGACAAACTTATTTATAATTTTTATCTCTATAGAAGTAATTTATCTATAACTGACCAGTTTTAACCAAATAACACATGTGTTAATTCGTCTTAAAAATAACTAGATTATGACTCACATTTTAAAAAAAACAAAATTATTCTTTTTCATATTTTTCATATTTTGGGTTTAATCAGATTTATATAATGTATAATTATAAATGTAACAGTATAAACTATTTTAATTGTATTGTTTTGTATAAATATACTATATAGTTTAAATATTTTAAATCGTTGTGATGCCATATGATAGTTAATGTATTTTCAATTCGATGTAGAAATTTGTATATTTATGAAAAGAAAATAATTTTAGTCTATCATTTTATTTATATTTTTCATATTTAGTTTCATATTGTAATTATGTTTTAGTTAAAATATTCTTTTTGAAAAAATATAAAGCAGATAATCGTTATAAATCTTTTAAAATTCTTTTTTAGAACCTCACGAACAATTGGTGATCTCAGATGTTTATATCAATGATGACTTATTATTTACATTATATTATATTATCTAACTAACAGAAATATAATGTAATGAGTTATTTGTAAAAATTATTTTGTTATAATTTTCTAAACAAATTTTGTTATAAGTATTATTTCTTCAAAAGAAAATCAAATTTTGCTATGAATTTGAAATGGAATATCCATTTACATTGAAAATAAAATATTAAAAGATATTATGAATAAATTAGTGAAAAAATTAGTTACATTTTTATCTTTAATGAATATCTAAAAAAATAAATACTTATAATGTTACAAATCAGAAGTAAAATGTCATGTTGCTTTTATACATAATATTTTAATAAGATAGATTCAACTCATCAGTCTAATCTTTCGGTTTCAAAAGACCTTTTAAAAGCTAAACGGTCATTTTCATTCAGGTTTTTCCTCGAGTGTATTTATTTTATATTTTTCTATAAAGACAAAAATGATTGTTACCTGCTCCAACTAAATATGATATTTATTTTTCTTTATATTTTTTTTTTATAATGCATGTTAGCAAATTTAATGCTTATCATTGTAAGAGCATACTATCATTTAGGGGTAAATGAATCTGAGGGATATAAATTATTAATCTTAATGTAACTTATTTCATAATTAAAATTCCAATCATAACATAAATTAACCCAATCAAAAAGTAACAGGTATGAATAGAATATCTTATTTTTAAATTTCTGAAGAAAACACTTTTTTCTCTTCTTCTGTCGTAGTCTTTTTTTTTTTCATTTTTAATATATATAGATACTATGCAAGATATCTGCAATGGTAATGCTTAGAGCACAATTAATAATGGGATTTAGAGAGTACCTCACAAACAATAATATTAACATATGTTAAAGTTAGAAAGAGAAGACAGAAAATGATACGATTGGTGGTAAAGAATCTCGGCAAATGAGAAGAACTAATTCTACATATGTCATGTTTATATTAGTGTAGTTTTTTATAAGTTATTAATTTAAATTAGATAAAAAAATGTGTGTTAAATAAATAGTTTAAATGCATAAGAAAGTGTGCATGAGAGACTTAACCAATGCTGGTGCTCTTTCGGTTGAGTTTCCCATAAAGCTAGAAACCCACAATTACATACACATATATAACATATACATACACACATATATATTTTTAGGACCCCAAGTGTAGAAACCCCCACTAATGATGCTAATTCAAGATGAGAGATCATGATAAAGAAAAAAAACATTGTTTGATGAAAAATCCAAAAAGAATACTTTTCCTTTTAATAGTAAAAATCTCTATGGATCTTATTGGTAGCCACTTCGGAGTTAAATGGAATAAAAGTTTGTATTGTAGCTTCGATACATGTTTTATTTTATACGTAGTAAACAATTTTTGTTATTATATGTTTTGGTGGTAGTTAGACATATGTTTTATTTTCCATCGCTAATTTTCACTCCATAAAGTAGTAAGTATTCGTTGTCAAAAAAAAAAAGTAGTAAGTATTCTGTTATATGGCAAACTTATATACATTTTCTCCTTTTCATTTTTATTTTGCTGATTAACTTACCAGTTATAGTCTATAGAGTGAATTAGCTAAATACCAGTAAATACTGAGATATCATAAAAGAGAGGGAAAAAAATGGTAAATAACGAGGAGAGAGACAGAGAAAAATAGGATATATCTCTAATTTTGGAGTTTTGTGTGTATAAACTGTGCAAATAATCTAGTAGTCTATACAGTAGAACCTCTATAAATTAATACTCGATAAATTAATATCTCTATAAATTAATATAATTTTATAGTACTAAATTAAATTTTTGGTTTAATTAGTATATCTATAAATTAATATCTCTCTAAATTAATAAAAAATAAAATTTTGGTGTAGTCCCAACATTATTAATTTATAGAGGTTTCACTGTAATTCTATATAAAGGTAGGAGATCCCAAGGAAAATATTCACCAGCCAACGCAAAAAAAAAACACTTTATTCACAAGTCATAATACAAAGAAGAGAGAGAATATGGCGACTTCAGGAACATATGTGACGGAGGTTCCGTTGAAAGGATCAGCAGAGAAACACTACAAGAGGTGGAAAAGTGAGAACCACCTCTTTCCAGACGCCATAGGTCATCACATCCAAGGTGTCACAGTACACGAAGGCGATTGGGACTCTCATGGATCCATCAAGATTTGGAACTACACATTTGGTAATAATACACTAAATATAATCCTAATAATAACGTGAAAAAACTCAGTAATAATGTTGCCATGTTATGATGATATATAGTATATAATCAAGAGTCCTTACCATATATGAATTCTAAACTGATTCACTCTTTTGTGAACCCGGCAATTAAATTTTATTTATAGTAGACTTGTCCAAAAGTAGATTTTCATATATCTTTTAGTGAACTTAATGAATGAAACCGCTTGAATGTGTATATATAAATGTTTATAAAGATGGGAAACCGGAGGTGTTTAAGGAGAGGAGAGAGATAGACGATGAGAATAATGCGGTCACGGTCAGAGGTCTTGAAGGCCACGTGATGGAGACTCTTAAGGTATATGACACCACCATTCAGTTCATTCAAAAATCGCCTGATGATATCGTTTGCAAGATCACTATGATCTGGGAGAAGCGAACCGACGACTCACCTGAGCCCAGTAACTACATGAAGTTCGTCAAGAGCATGGTGGCTGATATGGACAACCACGTCCTCAAAGCTTAAGTAAATCCCTTGTATCTTTGGAACCATCTCATCATCGGCTCACTCTGTGTGTTGTGTGTATTTCGTATCTTGAAATCAATATAATAATGGGGGCTCTTGTATGGTTTCGTTAATTATTATTACAGCTTCGGTTTGTAATATGGTTTCATGTTTTAATTATGGTGAGTAATTAACTGCGAGGTTTCATGTGTTATGTGTATGCCCATCTACACATGTCTCCTTGTAGAAAATGCTATAGTGTACAGTTTGTGTAATATATATATATGTTATTAGTCTCTGTACTTTTAACAAAAATATTATATAACAAATGAAAATAGTATATATATATATTACTTTTTGTTTTTGAACAACTTATATGTATATTACTATACAGACAATTTGAATGGAATGCAGGATTGGCACAATTGAAAACGGCGCTCTCGTCTGTGGTTATGACTAATATTGGCTTTTATGGTTGTTCCTAATGCAGGTTCTAATTTTATCCTGAAAATGTAACTATTTTCTCAAATAATTTTGTGTATATATCTGGATTACTCGGATGTTCCCAAGTTGCTAATAGTGGTTGAACATAAATATATGTATAATTGGATATATATATATATATATATATATATGCCTGTATATACAAATGAACTTGGCTGCAGCTGATATGCTCAACCACGTTCCCAAAGCTTAGCAGCAGAAGTACATCAACTACATGAAGTTCGTGAAGAACGTCGCTCCTGACAAGGACCAACATAGTACTGATATTGCTCAAATTTACTTTGAACTACTTTTCACTTTCAGAAAGCGAAATATCACTTAGAAACTGAATCCACAGATATTCATTCACACACTAAACTTGAATTATCAGATTAAGCTTGACAAGCAATTAAAAATTAATAAATAATAGAAAGTAAATCGGTTGTAAAACAGATGAAAATATAAAGTAGATGTCTTTAATGCATATATATATATATATATATATATATATATATATATGTGTGTGTGTGTGTGTGTGTGTTTAACTGTATTAACATGGATTTGAATATACAATTGGTAAATTTGGAGCAAAATCAAAAGGACAATTTTTACTTTTGAAATATAGGGCAAACATGAAAGAAAAAAGACAAAGGACCATTCGTGCAAGAAGGGTTCAAATGAACCAACAAAAAGTTAGAAATTAATCCGAGTAGATATATGGACATAAAAACCCAAACATGCTAAGATGCCAATAGTGGCCACTGATCTCACATTGTATATGTTTGGTCTAAGGGGGTAATAGTGGGAGTTATGTTTGTATAGAGTTTGTTGATTTTAAAAGTTGATGGATTTATTAAATTTGTAAAGAATTATATAAAGTTTTGTATATTGTGAAATTATATGAAAATAAATTGATATAATGATTCTAAGAATCTAAACTATATAGGTATTATTTTCAAAATTTTGTGTTATGAATCTTATATATTAAAACAGAAGTAATAACTTGATTTCATGTGTGATTTTTAAAAAAATGAACTATTACTAGAAAGTTATGTTACATTAACCTTTCTAATAATCTTATCATTATTATATCTTATAATACGCTTAATAATTTGGTTTTGGTAAATTACCTCACGCCTTCCAATTTAGTCACATAAATTATGTCAATAGATATAAGTTTAGGAATCTTCTATTATTATAAGGAAATATGTCAATAATAGTTAAATACATCCACAATATATTAACAAAAATCACAGATTCGTAATATGAAATATTTATATACTCTAACAAAATTTACACGCTATATATATTAGATAAATTTGTTTCGATGTAAATTTTTAAAATTATATTGTTTAAAAAATTCTTTTTTAATAAAATTATTTATAATATTAATTTATGAAGCTATAAGTTTAGTTTTTAGCAAAAATTTCTTCAAAGTTTATATTATCTTTTCAAATTAAAATACACTAATATTTAATCAAGCTCTATTTATATTATTTTATCTAAAAATAAAATACTAATCTAACAAAGAATAAAATATAGAAGAAGAAAAAAACACATGTTTGAAAAACATGTATAATATAGAAAATTTGAAACAATCTATTTGATTAATACACTTATTATATAATATTATTATGTTTGAAAAATATTTACTATACATATCGTAAATATGTGATTACTATAATATATACCAATTTACAAGTGAAAACAAAATGTTTATATAACTAACTATAAACGAAAACGAACACCCGCACGGCTGCGCGGGTCAAATTCTAGTTAAATGATTAAGAATACAATTTTTAATAACACCAAATTTAGAAGATTTAAAGAATCATTAAAATTTAAATTTTTTGAATAACAAAGAATCGCGTATAGAACTATTAAATCATCAATGATCAAACCAATAATACTAAACTTTAATGAAAATCTAAAAATATGTAAACTAATAATACTATACTCTAAAATTTTGAGAATCATTATAAAATTTAGTCCTAGTAACACCTCCTAAGACGAGAATTTTGGTTACAACTTGAAGGAGAACAAGGTGCGAAGGTTGAGGACGGCTTCATGGCAAAAAAATTCTGAAGCGGAGATGAAGAAGACTGGCAAATTTGGTACTCTGGAGTGCAGATGAAAATATAAAGTAGATGTCTTTTATGCATATGTATATGTGTGTGTGTGTGTGTGTTTAATTGTATTAACATGGATTTGAATTTACAATTGGTAAATTTGGAGCAAAATCAAAAGGACAATTATTTACTTTTTGAAATATGGGGCAAACATGAAAGAAATTAAAAGACAAAGGTCCATTCGTGCAAGAAGGGTTCAAGTGAACAAACAAAAAGTTAGAAATTAATCCGAGTAGATATATGGACATAAGAACCCAAACATGCTAAGATGCCAATAGTGGCCACTGATGTCACTTTTTTTTTTATGTCACATTGTATATGTTTGGTCTAAGGGGGTCTTAGTGGGAGTTATGTTTGCATAGAGTTTGTTGATTTTAAAAATTGATGGATTTATTAAATTTGTATAGAATTGTAGAAATTTTGTATATTGTGAAATTATATGAAAATAAATTGATATAATGATTCTAATAATCTAAACTATATAGGTATTATTTTCAAAATTTTGTGTTATGAATTAAATGATGAAGAATACAACTTCTAATAACATCAAATTTAGTAGATTTAAAGAAGCATTAAAATTTAATTTTTTTGAATAACAAAGAATTGCGTATAAAACTACTAAATCATCAAACCAATAACACTAGACTTTAATGAAAAACTAAAATGTGTAAACTAATAATACTACACTCTAAAATTTTGAGAATCATTATAAAATTTAGTCCTAGTAACACCCCTTAAGACGAGAATTTTGGTTACAACTTGAAGGAGAACAAGGTGCAAAGGTTGAGGATGGCTTCATGGCAAAACTTGTTTGAAGCGGAGACGAAGAAGACTATGACAGATTTGGGACTCTGAAGTGCAGACCGTGGTGGATTTGAATTTTTTTTGTTTTTCTGTTATGTCTCTATCTTTTTCAGAAACCATTAATTTTGATAACTACTCATTGAAATATTAAAACTGACAAGTTACATGAGTAGCTATCAAAAGGTAATGATTTCTAAAAACAATAGAGACGGATCTTTAATTTTTGAAATTTATCATAAAAAAGTATTTAAGTAGCAAAAAATAATTGATAGTGTAATCAAAACTCATAAAGTATCCTTTCTCTGTATATCACTTATATAAAATAACAACATATATATAATATATTTATATAAAATAAGTAAATTTGCCGGTTGTAGAATATAATATAGATGTAATTACTCTCGTAATTTATAATTGAATCTCTATAATATTATTTGAGAAGTCAGTTTCCTACGTGTCGCGCTCACGTTAACTCTCGCGATGGTTGATTACATAGATACCTTTAATGAATTGTTAGATTTTAAGTTTATTATTAACTTTTTTTATTTAGTTTCTTTTTTACTTTTTCAAAATAACATATATAATAAAAAGGAAATATTTTTAAAATTTTAAAACAGATTTAAAAACGATAATATATGTATATAATATGACTTTATTAAAAAGGAAAGTTCACAAAATAGTAATATACCCCATTATTATATATTTTTAAATAACATATAATATATATTCAAAATAACAAAATATATATGTTCATGAACATCCAAAATTTATCAGTTACACTTTATTTTCTAATATTTTTAGAAATCAACATATAATTTGATAAATAGTATGAAAATACTTGTATATTTAAACGATAAATAAAACTAATTTGATTTGACTTACCTAAAATCAGGAATAAATAAATATTATGACAATACATGTATATTTAAGCGATAAATATAACTAATTTTATTCGACTTAACTAAAATAAAAAGTAATTATACTTCAATTTTAACTCAATATACTCACAACATGAATGACCTGACTAATCTAATTTATATCCAAAATTAAACATCTAACTATAATAAGAACATATAATTTTATAGTAATAATAATCTATTTAATTTTATACATATAAATTAGAGGTTGACTCAAAGCATATTAAAAAGAAAAAGGAAATATTAACCAATTACAATTTATTCTTTTGTACAATTTATATATAGGCACGAGACTTCAAAATATTATCATTATATTCATTTATGTAATTTTGAATCAAACACTTCAGCTTATTATTTATTTTTGTTTAAGCACAATATATATATATATATATATATTAAGTTATATATAATTTAACTATAATATATTTACATATCTAAGAATATATTTACATATCTAAGACAATAACCAACCGAAATGAAAATAAGAAAATTAATCATAGTTTATTATATTTACAATAAAAAATATTATAGCTGAATTCGAAAAATAAATATTATCCGATATACCAAATTGATAACCAAACCAACTATTGATCCAAAAAATAACTAAACTGACAATAATATATCCAAAGTCATATGTATAATTAGAATAATATAATATTTATTAATATAAATTATACATATAAATAGATACAAAACTAAAACTAAATATCAGTCAGTTATTATAAAATTTTATTTTTATGAATATTTATACCCGTGCATGAACACGGGAAAATCACCTAGTAATAAATATGTGCTAAAACAAAACTAAAAGATCCCAAAACAGAACTAACACTCAAAAGGCATTCAAATTAACACATACAAAAAGTCTCAAATCCTCCAAATTTCATATTGGCTGAAATGGTCATCAGAGAAAACATGATATATGTCTCTTATACATATCGAAACAACAACAAAAGATCTTTC